TTTTTTGATTTCTTATTCTGTAGTTTTGTATGAATGACAGATCTAACAGCGAAACTTCTCCTGCGGAAATGATTCCCAACTTGAAACCACAGAATAAAACTCGGTTGTTTGTCCATCCTGACTGAAAACGTTGCCAAATGGACCTTTAAGTTCTAGCACATCATGAGGAAGAAATGCTGCTTTCTGTTGGAATTCTCATGTTGTGGGTGGAAAAAGGACATCGAGTCCCACTGAGGAAAGACAAAAGAGTCAGTATTTCCTAGGAAACTCTAAACAAAGTGCAGAAAAGGAATATTTTTATTTCTTCAATATCTTGCTGCTGTAATGCTATGCAGACAAGTGTTTTCTTCTCTGTGTGCCATTTTTGATGAAAAAAAAAAAATCATTTGCCAAATAATACTGGTATGCTTCTGGTTTAGGAGTTCGGATGAAGCGGACTTGACAAATGGGACAAGGACGGCATGGATTTTGGAATAACAAACTGATTCTGTGATCAAAATTGTTCATCTTTATCACTTTTTGTACATCAGAAAAAAAAATCAAATGGGATTTTTATTTTATAACTTGAAAAAAAAATCTTACTGTTAAACTCTTTAAATGTTTAAGGGGAAATGGCTTTAAGGAGTTCGAATGAAAATTGCCAGTTTTTTTTGTAAATATAAATGTTACAAAAATTCTTTTACTAATGCCATTACACAGTAGAGAAGGTAGCAAGTYGCAGTGCTTGGGAGGTGTGGCAAACCCAGTTTGTGGTTCTCACATCACATATGTTTTTTCACATGCTTAACAATAATGGGCTGAGGCTCAAGTGCATTTGCCAAAAGCAGTCAGCTTGTCAGCAGCTAGTGAAATTAATGGGAACACATGATTTTATGGTCTAGCATTATCACACAGACATAATTCCACTTGCAAGAGATCGCATTCCATTGACATTCCTTTGAACCTCTGCATTGAAGTCATCCCAACTGTTTACACGCAGAACAGAAAGAATTTAAAACTTCCCTTTTTTTTTTACATTTATGAAGCAAAACGTGCAGTGTTTGGGTTCATATGTTTAGCACATGATTTTCATAAAGAATCTATATATTTTTGCCCTACAGAGAATTGTTATACAGGTCAAATGTGTTTTCCTGATGTTCCTATGCAGTTACAGTATATTGAATTTAGTGGTTTAACACTAAAAAGAAAAAAAAATAAGAAAAAAAAAAGAAAAAAATAGAAAAAGGAAAAATGGTTAAAGAAATCAAGAAAGGATTAATCAGTTTTTAGGGTTATTGTGCAGATTTTGTTTTTAAATTGACACATTAGGATTTACATTTTTTGTCAAGATTAAAATAGGCCTGGATTAATAAATGTTTTACTTTCTTTCATCTCTGTTATAAGCTCAAAATGGTTTAGAAGGCAGAATAACTGGGGTGGCGATTGTTGCAACCAAATCTCTCAACTCTTTTGGTCCCACTCTTTTATTTTGAATTAGAGAAATTAGAGAARTGTGCGTTGCAGAATGTATGTGAATGAGAAATTAGCTGTGAATAGACCTAACGAACCTGCAGAGAAGAGAATTTTATCCCCACCCACGGTCATTTGATGCTTGTTCCTTAGTCATGTGCAAACAGCTTTGTAGCAAATCTTTTACTTTCCCACTGGAAGATCAAGTTTTCTAWCTGGAGGAAATAATTTAAAACTTGGTGGATTGAGTGTTTCAGGATTAAAAGCAGAGGTAAAAGCGTTTCCCAAGGACATTCCTGTCAGAATATTTTCCTGATTTGCACAGTGGTGCTACTTTCTTCCTCAACATCTTTTTTTTTTTTGGGTTTTGTCCTGCACATGGAACCGCAAAAGCCGGTTTTGATTCATCACAGACATTGAAGGTTTATGTCAGTGCATTTCCAGTTATGGGGTGAAACAAAAAGAGAAAAGAAGAGATGGATGTCTCAGAGGATTGTGTTTGTAGGAAGCAGATCACTCACGAATAGGTGCCGAGGGAACAAGGCTGGAATTTTTGTGTCTCTCTTGGGAGACAGCCAGGCCATCACCGCGGACCTTTGTCTTACCTTTGCCAACGCTCATAAATAAAAACCATTTGGGAATTGTCTGATCATAGGATCGTCCTTGTCGTGGCTGAGATTCTGAGCTGAGAGGGCCGGAGGGCCTGTGCACTGTACCAGTATTGTAGATAACTCAAAATATCCAGCTTGTGCAATTGTTTAATCCCTCATCCTTCACTAGCACTAAATTCGTCACTTTAAATTTACAAACCAGGGAATTCCCACCAGCCATCCCGTTACCATCCCCCCCGTAGGTTCTTGATCTTTACCTGTCATGAAAAGATATTTTGATAGATCGTAGTCATCCAAGTGTCTGATGAAACCTTTCATCTAAAATAACGTACTGGGCACCTTCTTTGCAAAAATGTTTACTCCGTGGTTTTCATTCATTTTTATTTCTGCATTCTGACACTTATTTTTTTAATAAAGATGAGAAAGATAAAATGACTGTTGCAGTACATTTCTAAACCTACTTTAACTTTACCTCAGATTATGACCATTTGTTAACATATACGGACACATTATTTTTAACTTTATGTGTAACGCATTCAGCAACAACAACAGAAACCAACAAATTTTTAGAAATTTTCCATTAATTTCTGTAACACACCATGTAATACTGTTATGAATAAAAACATTAAAAAAGGTGTCATTTCAGTAAGTTTGTTTCATAGCTTGTGCTATTCTGGGATAATTCTGCCGGACTTAGAGTGAAGTGTTGGTGTCTGGCATGGCCTTTATTTTTGACAGTGGAAATGCCTGGGAAAGGAGAAAATCCTCAATTTGGGGAATAACTAATCTTAAACACTGAGTGTTGCCTATATTGCAAATGCATAACTTGCTGATTTTATTGCTGCCTCCACRTTTTTGGCCTCTTTTTGGGTGTTCTAGGATGAGCATCCCAAACCAGGAGGTATTTGTGTCACCTCCTGCAAAATCCCACATTCCTGGGACAGCCCACACCGTGTGGTGCTCCCTAAGCTGGTGTACCTTTGTGGCATGAGAAGCTGAAATTAATTTTGGTCACATTTTTCATTCAAGTTTGATTTGAAGTTAAAAGGTGTGCATTTAAACATGACAATTTTGAAAGCAGAACCCTCCTAAAATTTCCAGTAACTTACACAGAATTGATCATAAAACTCAGTTGAGAAGGAATTTTACCATTCTCTGCCAAGAGAATAATGCAGTAAAATTTAAGAGTAAGAAATACATGTTTATGTACAGCGAGAGAGAGATGTGGATGTGTGTACGTATATTTTATTGTATTTCTGCTTTTTGATGTCTCATCCCTTCCTCCTCCACCAGAAATGCCAAATAGGTCATGCTGAAACATTCATTGCCTTTGTCAGTGAGCATTGTTGAAATTCTTGGATGCCACCTGAGAATAAAGGTTATTCTGCTGCGATGGARGCAGAAGTGTTAATGGCATTTTGATTTGTGTGTGGGTGACGSTGTCCAGGTGTCCTTGGAAGGAAAAACGCCATCTCTGGTTTTCAACAAGCCACAAAACATCAGCTTCAAGTGGAATAAGCCACAGCTGAGCCTGGATTTAAATTAAAATGTGTGTTTTTTACAATGAAGGCTAAATCTGGTCTTACTGATGCTCTTCTGGTACCCTCATGGTGAAGCTGGTTGAAAAAKCAGGAAAATGTTGCACAGTTGCTGTTTAGGCTCAGTTTAAAAATTGAGACAGCCGGTTTGAGATCTGACAAAGGTGAGGGAAGGAAGGACCTGTTCTGTGTGTTCAGAAGGGATAAAAATGTGGKTTTGCTGTGCTGTGTTCATGGAGTGTATCAGATTAATTCTGCTGTAACTTTAAACACTCAGACTCTCTGGGCTGTATATGAAAATATCCAACTCAGACATGACCACTTCAAGAAATGGTCCCAATTTAACCTGTGCTAATTAAGGCCGTGATCTCCTGCAGTAATGACAATTTCTTTGGCAAACGCTTTGCAGACTCAGCCTGTGGTTTTGCAGGAGTGAGAACGCAGGCAGATCTCTTTTCCATGTCAGTGGCTTCTGGGAAAGCAATTGCTTGTATGGACTGGGAATATGCAATTTTCACTCCCTCGCTTTGGATTAAAGGCAGTGTTTTATGTGCTTTAATCACTGCTCAGTGACAGTTGCTGCAACAGAGAAAGTAACCTCTTTCTGGCTGTTTTTTAGGTTGTGAAATAGATTTTCATGCACTGTTTCCTTTTTTCTTTCTTTGCTTTCTGAAGAACTCCTGTCCTGTCAGGTTCATGTTTATTGCTTTCCTGGCAAATGCTGTTCTCAGTCAGAAGAATATCAYGTCCAAGAAATGAAAGGGGAAATGTGTTGGCAGTTTTCCACAGAGGTTTGAATCCCTAAGCCAGCGTGGGATGCACTCCGTGGTGAGGGAGCAGAGCCCTGAAAAGTCCCTGTGACCAGCAGGAAACTGAGGCACAGCTCCTGAATTCTCATTCTGCTCCTGTTTGTGCCATCCTGGCACTCACYCCCTGCTCCTGGCTCTGGTTTGATGTCCCTTCTGCAAAAGTCATGATTTGTAAAGTGTTTCTGTCTTGCGCTGAGTTCTTCCAGGAATTTATCTTCTCACACTGATTTGCTTTTTAGGATCAGCACCATTAAAAACCTTTATTTTGTTGGTTGTAAATACCTGGTGTAAAATTGGGGAACAATAAAGGTGTGGGGTTTGGTTCTTATATTGCTTTACTTCTCTGAAAGTGTGGAGAAACTGAATTACACATTTCAGCTCCTGACAGTGAGGAATATGAGGAGATATCCTGATAGATTTCCTGAGTTCCTGCAACATGGCCTGTCTCTTTCTAAAATTATCCTACTGGAGGCAGGAAATATCAGCTCTATTAGTGAAACAGCTCTCCAGCTATTAGTTTTTAAAGCTTTAAATAGTCTTATCTCAATGGATGTGTTTTGCCCTGTGGCTCATCTATCACCCTAAAATGTTTTATCAGCACCTGGAAAAATCTCAGTGAGAAGAATAGCCTCAGATCCTGCCCATTTAAGGGGCTTTCAGATACAGAATGGGGTTTTTAAAAAAAAAAAAAAAAAAGTCTTTTAAGATCTGATATTATTTGCTGGCTTTTCAACCTTATTGCATAGCTCCCATAGCACCACTTCTATAAATACTCCTCACCAGCAAAGAAAGGAAATCACAATAGATTAAAGGAAAATCAGGTTAACAGGCAGCAATCTCTGCCCATTCAGCCTCAGACATTTGTGAAAATAAAGGATTAGGAAGAATTACTGCCAGGTACTAGCTGCAAAAAGACCCTTTTGTGGCATCTTTGTCTTCTTTGGCAGTTATTAGAGGTCTTAGAAGAGCTCTCAGTGTCAGAAGTGAGCTGTGTTTGAAGCGAGCAGAAGTTACAATACTGTGAGATGTTACATTTTTTGTAAATTTTGTACAATTTATTTGACATACGTGTATTATGAGTATTTTAGTTTTTTTTCTTTAAAAAAATGCTGTTTGTAGTTTGGAAAAGAATTTGTGTTCTCTTGATGGAGAGGAGATGGAGGCAAAGGATGGGGTATGGTGGGGTTTTCTTTGTTTTACCCTCTCCACAGGACCTGTAGGGCTTTCACAGGAGGTGAACATGTGTCAGATTTGGCCTCAGTCCTGATGAGACATCATTTTTGGTCAACCAAAACCCGAAAGAGGAGAATTAAGTTCACCAAGGTGAGTTTTTTTATGGTCAGGGCCTTTCAGAGACCAGCCTCACCACCAGAAAATCACAATGTTAGCAGCAAAAATGGTGATGGCACAGGGCCAGTTGTAGTGAACTGACTGAAAATATTCCTTAGTTGTAAATTTTACCATATATTTGCCTCCTTATGTTCTTCACAATTAAAATTGGTGGGAAGTTTTCTTTTACTTTTGAATGAGGTTTTTCCACAGAAGGAAATGCATTCTGAGTTCCAAATCAGAATAAAATTGTTTTCTCAGCGAAAAAGTAACTTTTTGAAAAGTACACTGGTAATTCTATGAACAGCTTTGGAGCTTGCTGGCTCCAGTCTGATCTTTCCCAGGGTTTTCATCTCTGATGTATTTTGAGTTTTTCTTCTAACAGGAAAGTGCTACTGCAAAAGAAAAATGATGTTTGGTGAGAGTGTATAGGATTTACTTACAGGGAGCAAGGGCTCACAAATGGACTCTGCAAAGGACGTGTTGCACTCACAGCCTCTGTGCTATTGGTGGACATTTGATTTTCAAGTGTGATGAACCCTTGCTCAGCAACGTAGAGAATTGTTTGGGACTTTAAAAGAGCTCATGAGAAGGACATGGCTGCTGCAGTCATCTGTGGARAAGGAGCAGGAATGGGAAAGGACACAGAAGCTGTTACGAGGCAACATACTCATCAACCCATGGACCCCAGGAAGCAGGAAAAGACCTGTGGTTGCTGTCATGAATTTTATGTGTTGGACCTACCTCTGATTAAACCAGGTTGTAAATTATGTGTAAAACCTGATCACACTCTAGTTCTCTGTGAAAAGTACTTTGAGGTGTAGGGAAATCTGTCTCTTGAGTCCCTGCTCCTGTTTGAACTCGCTTCTGGTAATTGATCTGTGTGATGAGAGGCAGCAAAACAAGGACAAGCAGCAGGGAGAAGCTCAAGAATCATGGTGGGATCACTGTCGTGGTTTGCTGTTCAACCTAGAGGGTGCTCTGTGTTTATAATCTCAGTTTATCTTTTACTGCTGTTGAAATATTGGATGTGTGCTTTATTTCCCGCCAGCAAAGGTCCTGTGGGTGGAAAGATCTTTCCTGTAAGTGTTTGGGTTTTTTGTTGGTTTTTTGTTGTTTTTTTTTTGTCATGGACAAATGATTAACAGCTGAATCAATTGTGTCAGAGGTTGAGCAAGCTGTATCACACAGGCACATCTTGGGTTCAGGCTGGGGCAAACTCATTTGAAAGAAAAAAATGGGGCAAAAAAAAAGGCAAACAGAAAGCTTTGCACAGCCAAAGACATCTTCCCTATTAGTTTGTCCTCTGTGTCTAGAGGGCAGTTTATCTCTGTGCTCAGTAACTCTGGGTTGAAAAAAGATTGCAATACAATCTTTTATTTGGGGCAGATTCCTACAAGGATTCAGTTAATGTGCCTTTCTGTGTTAAATTGTTACCGTCAGGCTGCCACACCAGAAAGATTTCTCAGCCCTGCGCTTGTTTTGCGGGTCAGGGCTCCACAGGCAGAATAATGTCATTTTAAAGGTGACTGTGACACTTGAAGGTGTAGCACTGGGCCAGGTAACAGCGCTGTGGTGGTTGGGATCTTTTGGTATAAGTGAATATGAATAATTTTCTATTTATAGCATCCATTATTCCCATAATGAGAATTTTTTTTTTGTATCATTGAAGCACTCAGATTCATCCCAGAGTGAGAGATCATGCTGCTAAAAGCCACAGTTGCACAGAGTCAGGCTCTGTCTTCTCAAAGACATTGTCCAGCAAGRGGAAAGGTGGGAAAACACAATGATATTCCTCATTTTGTGCAGGGAAACAGACTCAGAACTTCCCTCCCTCTGAGATGCTCACTGTGGGTTAACAACTAATTAGGAAAATAAAAGGAAAGACTCTTTGTGTCTCAGGAATCAAAAAGCTGTACCTGGAGGGGGAAGCAGCAGGGTGTGAAGGCTCAACAGGCAACCAAAGGAAAACTCTGCAAGGTTCTGATCTGCCTTTGAAAACCCAGCTGAGCTGATGGGAACCAGCCCCTGGTTCAGGATCATTTAGGAGAGAGAATGACTTGATGTAGAACCAAGAAAACACCAAAACGTGACATTTGAAACCATGACAGGTRTGTTGCTTTCGTGGGCTCAAGATTTCAGGTATGTGGAGCAGAGAATCTCTGTGCAATGGCCCAGCCAGGGCTGGGGCTCTGGGGAAGGGCACTCCCAGGGAAAAGGYTTTCCTTAAGGCATGAGAATGAGTGCCTGTGCCTCGTGTCTGACCTTCCTCTGGAACGCAGACATGAAAAGCAGCCATAAATAAATGATTCTGCACTCTATTCCTAGAAAGCCGACTTGAGTTTACTTATCACTTCCTCCTTGCCAAGACTCAAATATGCTCCGTTTGTTGAAATATTCATTTCCCCCGTCCCTTGAAAGGAGCATTACGAATCAAAGTGTAAATTGCTCCTAGGCAGATYTCTGCTTGGGGAAAGCGTGCTAACAAGTGCAGCGTTTACCTTGCGAGCCTGCCAGGTACGGGGTCATCTGCTGTTTGTAGGCTGGGAAAGCAGCTCTGCACTTTGATCTGTTCCTGCTTGAACCCTGCTCCAACCCCCACGAGCAGATGGGCTGGCGGGTGTGGGATCGCCGGTGGTTTGGGATCTCCAGAGGTGTGGGATCATCGGCGGTGTGGGATTGCCAGAGTTGTGGGATCCCCAGTGGTGTGAGATCTCCAGAGGTGTGGGATCTCCAGAAGTGTGGGATCATCGGCGGTGTGGGATTGCCAGAGTTGTGGGATCGCCAGCGTTGTAGGATCTCCAGCAGTGCGGGATCCTCAGTGCTGTGGGATCGCCAGTGCTGTGGAATCACTAGTGTTGTGGGATCACCAGCATTGTAGGATCACCAGTGCTGTGGGATCACCAGTGCTGTGGAATCACCAGTGCTGTGGGATCACCAGCATTATAGGATCACCAGCGTTGTAGGATCACCTCGGAACGATGAGCACTCCGCTCCCCACCAAACTGCTGCTGCTGCTCTGCGCCGTGCTGGGTGCTCAGACTGCTCATGGCTTTGGGTGAGTGAATATTTCTGAGGCCACATCCATGGGATGACACCCTAAACTGTCAGGATCAGTGCAGATTTTGGTGTTGTGCAGCTGCTGTGAGTGATTTCTGTGTCTCTAATGRAAGATGTCGTTTTGAAGCCGGCGTAGGGCGGCGTTTCCGCCTTCAGAAAAGCCGTCCTGGTGATAAATTGGAGCTGACAAATTGCCACGGCCGTGTTGTAGCGTGGAATTGTTTGAACATGCAGCCTCCTCCCGTGCTGGCTGCCCCACAGAGTGCTGTGCACACGGGGGTTTTTTTCCTTCCAGTGCAGAAATGGTGAGAATGTGGCTGGGAGCTGTTGCTTTCCCTGCTGGCCTAATAGATTTTGCTGTTTCAGAGAGCTGCGTCTGTAATCTTTCCAATCTAACTRTATTTTTGTGCTGTTCTCTGAACTTTGAGCTTTGATTTCATGCCTYGGCAAGCTGATGAGGTTTTGTAATTCCTTTATTCCGTGTGATTTTTAATATGCTGTAATGGGAGCCCCATGCCAGGCACTAAATCATACTTAAAACTTCAGCTGGTGCTGTTCTTGTCTGGGGGAAGAATTGGGAACACGCTGTGGTCGTTTCCTTGTCAAAATGGGTTTGAAAAGAAATTGATTGTCAGCATTTTACTAAAGCTCCCCACTTGAAGGAGGTGCTAMAAGGGAGCGTTTGTCTGGGACGAGGATTTAATCAGAAATCCTGARTCCACCAAAAGCATAGGCAGCATTTTAATGGGGGCATTGTGGAAACCTTGGAGACAGTGRAGGGGTGAGAGTGGCTGGGATCGAGAATAAAGGCTTGCACTTGGGGTTCGGGTTCATGAATGGGTAGAAAGGGGTTAATGGGTTAATGAAATGAGAATAGAATCTAAAAATAGTGGCTTCGGCCAGCTTGGGAAGAAATGGGCTGCTGGGCAAAGACAGACACTCCAGCCTGGTTTTCAGAAATGCTGAGTGCATCTGCCAGGCCTTGTCCTGGGTGTTTGTGGTGGAGGTTTCTGACCCTGGAGCTGTTCCTCGAGCGTGGCAGTGAGGGGGTCAGGGCAGCGGCTGCTGAGGAAGGTTTCACTGCTTGCACAGCTTCAGGTGAAGCCCAGACTGGTGGACCATGGGCTGAGTTTCCTGTGGTGACAATGGAGAATGGATCAGGCTTTATACTGAATCAGTTTCAGCAGAATCCAGGCCATCAGAACGAGGGCTGAAATCCAGAGGTTGCGCGCAAAGCATGGTGAGATCTGACGGGCGTTAGCTCTCCCTGGTGTGTAGCCCCACACAGGCACAGACTGAGTCTCTGGGTGCTCACAGCTCRCAGTTTCACAGCCTGAAGCTCTCGTGTTGTTGGGCACAGTGATCAGGAGCCCCCGAGCCCCGGTGACAGTGGGGACAGCGTGGCCAGGGCCAGGCATCCCCGCTCCGTGAGCGCCCCACCGCAGCCCCGCGACTGTGCCCTCTCCTCCTGGTCCTCCTGGAGCACCTGTGACCCCTGCCAGAAGAAAAGGGTGAGTGTCAGTCAGCTGGGGACCCTCTAAAAAAAAACACAGGATGTGTTGCCTCCTTCCAGCCGTGTTCCTTTTGTCCCTGGGGTCTGGCAAACCGAGGAGTCTGACAAGGAAAGCCCTGGACAGGTGACACTGTGGGGTTTTGCTTTCAGGTGCCTTGTAGCTCTTCAGCTCACCACCCTCAGTAATTCCAGCACTTTCCAGGGTGCCTCACCATGCTGAGAAGGTGTAAACCCAGGCTTTGCAAGGACTTTCCAGCACAGCCCTGCTCTTCCAGCATCGGTGCGAGGCACCTTCCCCACTAATGGTCCCCTGTGGGACCTGCAGTCACTCGCTGCCTCTCAGGATTAAGATGCTTTTTCTCATCTGCCAGCCAGCATTTTCCACCCGAGAAGCCCCATCAAACGAAAGTAATGATCCCAAGAGCGTGAAGAGCCAAATCCCTGTTTCTGGAGAGACCTCTGCTAACGAGTTGGAGGAGCTGCTCCCAGGCTTAGGCAGAAATAACCAGTGATGGGAGCTGGGGAGAGCGAAGCTTCGTATCAAGGAGTTAATCTCAGAAGCTGGGGAAAAAAAGGAGGGCTAACATATTGGACGGAGTAATTGACTGCTTCACAGCAGTGTTGTGGGCGGAAAAAGTCCCTAATGATACAGAGGGGCAAGTAAATACACTGACAGAAAATAACAAGGGATGTCGTTACCAGCGCTAATTGAAAGAGGGGAGACGGAACTGAATCCTTCCCTCGCTCTTGCGAAGTCCYGCACTGCACTGTCAGGCTCATTTAAACAAACTGTCAAAGAAAAGCAAACTTTCCTTCATCCCTCCCAATCCTCAACCCTCCCTCAGTAAAATTAAAACTGTCGCGGATCAGAAACCTTTGAAACGAGGCGAATTACCAGCGTCGCGCTTCTGTGGCTGACACTTTTCTCTTTTAATATGACAGCGCTCTTAGATCAGACCTCGGTGACACAAAGTTTGTTTTCCAACTGGAGAGGCGTAAAATTCACCATTTCTGTGCGCTGGAGTCAATATTTTTTATTTCACCGCAGTACAGATTTGCCCGCCTGGAACAACCCTCGCAGTTCAGTGGAGATCCCTGTGATTAYCCTGACAGAGAAGCTGAGGACTGTGTCACAAGCAGTCCTTGCAGGAATAAAGTSAGATGTGATGGGTTTGTCTGTGCAATTACAGGTAAGGATTTGGGGGCTGGGCAGTGCTGGGGTGTCCTTTCTGACASCACTGTGCTAAACTTTGTGCTTCGCTGGGACAAAGCCAGGAGTTGGCCTGGYTCTTTCTGTGCTTGTATTTGTGTCAGAGATTTTGAGTCTATTACAGCATCTGCCCATCTTTAAAATCTCCAAATAGAAAATTATAACCTGGTTACATCAGCAAAATCTGTAGCACAAATGTCAGGAGCAGGAGCTCAGCACCTGAGGTGGGACAAAGGAAAACTCCTCTGCTCTCCATCTTACAGTGTTTTGGTGAGACTGGAAACATTCAGTAATTATGGACATGGGAAGGGTGAAAAAATAATGTCATATACAAGGTCTGCTGAAACAGCACGTTTGTGCTCTCAAAACAACAAAAAAAAAATTTACAAAAAAAAAAAAAAAAAAACCCCTGTATTCTTTTTTATACTCTAAATTACTGTGGGTCTTTTCCTAAGTTGAGCAAAGAATTTTAAGATTATGAAGGTTTTGAGTGAAACTGAGCAGATGGACTTTGGTGGTCCATGCAGATAGAGAAGAATTTTTTTTATCCCATCTAGATTTGAAMCATTCATTCCAGGAATCTTCTGTTTTGCTCCCAGACTCTCAGTGATCACAGATTGTACTATGAGTGAGTTTTCCTTTTTTCCCAGGGAGATGCATTGCACGGAGGCTGCTCTGCAATGGGGATGACGACTGTGGGGACCAGTCAGATGAAAAGAACTGCAAAAAAGTGTTCAGAAAATGTGAACAGCACATGGAAGAGTACTGGGGAATAGAGAACCTGGCAAAAGGGTGAGTCAATGACTTTAGTGAGATGATTTCTTATTTAAGGCTGGGAATGATCCAGTGTGGCTTCAGAAAACACTGAACAGAGAAAAGCTGGAGCACCTGGAAGTGTCCAAGGCCGGGTTGGACAGGGTTTGGAGCACCCTGGGATAGTGGGGGGTGTTGGACTGGATGGCCTTTAAATGTCCCTCCTAATCCAAATAACTTCATGATTCTTTGGTTTTTATTCTTACAGCCTGTGTTGGTTTGGTGGGAAGGGGGAAAGATGTTCAAATTTCTTTGGTTTCCTCCATGATGTTGAGAAGTGGTGGAATTTTTGTGCTTTGTGTGAGTGGGGTAGGGTAAACCTGCATATTAGCAGCTTTGTGGGGATTAAAATCTRAATCTGAGTTGATTCAGCTCTTGCAGGCTGAGTGTGACAACTTTYTGTAAGATCAGACTCTGTGAAAAGAGGTTTTCTTTCTTATTCTGCAGGGRAAAAATTGCTTTTCACATTAATAAAAAAGGAAAAGAAAAATCATATTGCAAGGAAAAAATATAATTTTCTCGTTATTCTCTGGAGATATGGCTGCTGCACATGTCATTGCTAATGCTTTGTACTTCTGAGTTTAATCAAAATTAAAAATAATGTTGGACAATTATAGGAACATGCTTCTCATCTCTTTGAAGCTACAATTGCTCAGTAATTTGCTTTTAGTGGACTTCCCTTTTTTTTCAGATTGTTCTAAAATTAGAGTTAATTTTTTTACAGCTTCAGAGTCATTATCATGTAAGCCTCTCTCCTCAAAATCAGGAGAGGCAGATCCAACAGAGCCCTGGAGCACTGATAGCTTTTTTTTGCAGTTTTTGGTTTTTTATTTGGTGAAGTTTCATCTCACCAGCAGCAATGGGAGAAGCAAGTGACGGGGTTTAATCTCCTCATCTCCACAGGCTGCAGTGCTACGTCCTTTCTTGGAGCAGGCAGGTTGAGATTTCTGTCCATCATCCTCTGAAAYCAAAGGAAAACTCCCTGTGGTTTTGAGGATTAGCTGAACTCTTCCTTGAGTAGCTCTATTCTTGTTCCCCAACCATTTTTGCTGTTATCTGCTGACCTCTGGTTGATCCTTGACCAACCCAGAACAAAGAAATGTGAATTTAAATCACTCTGGACTGATGGCACGGGTTGGCAAACCTGTCTCTGAAGGTCCTGCTGGATGCTGTGGACATTTGGGGATGCTCAGGGTGATGAATTTGGCTGGTCCAGTTTGTTCTGCTCCTCCTGAAGAGTTCCAGAAAAGGCCACAAAGCTGCCAGTGCTGGTGGCAGTGACACTGCTGTCATTCATAGCAGGGGGGTTAAAAATTGCCCTTCATATTCATCAAGTGTAAAAAATTCACCTCTGTCTCTTGCTTTCTTGTTAGTCAGGTTCTCCTGCAGCAGCTGCACTGGTTGGACAGTGAAAGAGTCCAGACTTTATTTTGGGGTTTCAGAATAAAGAACTGTTAAATGAAACAATGTTTTGCCTCTCTCTCTCCCAAGGTGTTTGGTGTCACCTCTGAATTGATGGTACCATCAAATGTGGCTGTTCTGCTTCTCCTGCAGGTTGAATCTCTTCACAAGCAGCTTGGAAGGATGGGTTCTTGACCACAGGTACTATGCTGGGGGATGTTCTTCCCATTACATCGSGGACACGAGGTTCAGGAAACCCTACAACGTGGAGAGCTACGTAGCAGAGGTGCGTGTCAGCTGTGCCTGCAAACTCACACACACATATCCCACCAGATTTACAGCACAAAGCTTCATTGCTGGATTGTTTTGTAAAAAAAAAAAAAAAAAATAATGGAATTCTTGACACCCAGCAGGATCAGAATGAATTTGACCCTGTTCTAGATCATCCCCATACCCCACGCGCTCCACGGTGTCGAACGCACCGTGTGCTTTGTGTGAAATCTTGTTTCTGTCATGCCTCAAAGCTGTATTTCAAATATATATTTGACCTTAATGCTTTTGATGACRTGATGTTTTTGAGTGCTGCCCACTAGGAAACCTTTTCCTTTCAGAATTTGTACTTTAATTGATGCCTGTGTTTAAGATCTCGCCTTCTTTGCATGAGATTGACATRTTAAGTGAAAGCCTGAGGACCTTGCAGGTGGAGGAGATGGGAGCTTTCCTGCTGCTGTAAATCAAGTATTCTTCAAGTACCTGTGTTAATAATAATAGTGCTTTGCAATTATACAAGACTTTTCATCTTCGAAGTGCAAGCATTAATTCACAAGGATATTTGTGAATTATTCCTTCCCCGTGCTTCAGGTGTRCAGTGGCTGTGCAGGAAATGAGATGTGTTGTTTTTCCTTTCTGTTTAGACCAAAGGCAAATATGAATTGGCAGTGACTGAATACGAGTCCTACTCGAATTATGAAAGCAACATCCTGAGGGCAAAACTCTCGCAGTCAAGCTTCAGYTTTGGTATCATAGTACCAATGGTGTTTGAACTTGGATACAGCTCAAGTGACATGAGGTTCAGGAAGTTCATTCAGAGGACAAAAAGCTTTTCTTCAACTGTAAGCATTGCTCCATTTAATTCCCTGCTAACGTGTTCCCTGTAAGTGTGTGTGTTGGTTTGATGCTCCTTGGCAGGTCAGCAGCCAGGAWTGGGATAAATCAAATCTTTTTCCCCAACTGCATTYTGCCATTTGTTCAAGTCTTGACTTSRCCCACAGYGCCTTCATTTGTGTTTGCAGCACYCAGGAGCTTTTCCATTSGGCTCTCAGCTGGGATCTGGGCTGCCTGACCTCTGAAATCAGTGATGAGCAGGACTCAGTGATCCTTGTGGGTCCCTTCCRGCTGGGGATGTTCTCTGATTCTCARTGTGGGCTGCCCAGTGCCCTGCTGGGCACCCACCTTTGAAAGTCAGCATTGAAATAATCTAAAAATTGRAACTAAGAACCCTGTTCAGCGGGAATCTGTAACTCCTAGGGCTGCTATCTTTTGTCTTCTTTTTTTTTACATCTGTTGTTGCCATAAACAAAAATAGCTCGTATCAATGGTTTAATATCACCAACCTTTGTCTCCCTTCAGTTTAAAATGTACTCAGGAATGGCCAGATATTCCTTGTTGCTATTAAACTTGCATTTGCGTCCTACAAAGTGGCATTTCCCACAGTAAGATCAGAGGGTGATGAGAAGCATTTGCAATAGACACCCATGAAAAAAAACCAGTATTAATTCCTGATTTTWTTATTTAAGCTGCAGAGCTCTATACTGAACCCTCCCTGATGTGCTCCTTCTCCTGGCCCAAACAGCAGACTGCAAAATCCTTTGAAAATAATGAAAGACATCTTCTGTTCCAGACTTTTATGCCAGAAAGGGGAGAGTAAAATTTATCCATGTGCAAATATCTACACAGAAATATATAAATATCTGTGTGTGTGTGTGTTTTCTTCTTTCCTTTCAGTTTTGATAATGGCATATTATGTGAAATGCAAATGCGAGTCTGGCTTAGCCAGAGAATGACCATTTCCCGTATAAATCATGACTTCAGGTGTCAGAACTTTTCAGGAGGAAGCTAAAATACWGTTTTATTAGGGGTAGAGCAGCCCTGCGGGGTGCTGAGGTGTCCTTGCACCCTGGGTGTGCCAAATCAAAACCCAGACCCTGCCTTTCCCTGTGTCCCAGTCATGGCCTGACTCTCAGGAACTTTCCTGCTGAAAGTTTAGATTTTACACAAGTTAGCTAGAAAATTCCCAGTTAGGAGATTCCCAGTTGCAAACCGTGCCATAAATAAATCCCGAGCAGTGCTGATCATTTAACAGCAAATAACCCCATACTGACACCAGAATGACATCCCTCCCTTCTCCTGGATTCTCCTGATTTTTTTTTTTTTTTTTTTTTTGCMGTCCAGCAAGTTCATCCATGCCCGTTCTGAGCTGGCTGTGGCTGTTTACAAGCTGAAATCCCGAGCTCTGATGCTGCACCCCGAGTTCCTGCAGAGGCTGCGGAGGCTGCCCAAGGAATACGTCTACGGGGAGTACAGGGAGCTCTTCAGGGATTTTGGAACACACTACATCAAGGAGGCCACTGTTGGGGGAATCTACGAATACACTTTGGTGGTGAACAGTGACCAGCTCAGCAAGGGGGGTATGTGCATCTGATGGATGGGAAGGGGCTTTGGGGACACATTTTGGGTGGGAGAATCGCTCTGCAGGCACAAAGGGATGGCTCAGGAGAGGGAGATGTGGAACAAGGAGTCAACAGCATCTCAAAGAAACCCTGCAGGAAATGTGGGAGCAGAAGTGCTCTATGGCATGGAATAAAGAGCTTTTCAAAGCATGCTCAGCACCGTGGGCTGGGTTCAGCTCACAAGGAGCTAGCTGGGTTAGCCCTGTAYCAAGTATTTTAGACAACATGTTTTAGAGGCTGACAAGATGTTGAGTTGAATGAGAATCGTGGATCTTAACACTTCTCTTAGCTTTGAAAACCTTCACCCAAGTTCTTTTCCTGCTGCCTTTGGAATGGCAGTTTTGAGACACCTTTAGCCTAGAGATCTTTTCCAGCGTGTGGGAAACAGTAAATAATTTGCTGGGTGACTCTTGTGCCTGACATTGCTCCTGCTCCTTGGCTCTGKCTCCCTTTGCAGTGAGGAATGATGGTTGTTGTGTGGGGCAGAGCCAGCAGGGTGACATTAATCAATAACTGCACTCTCCATTATTTATTCATGGGCAGGGGATGAGGAGCTGCCTCTGTGTCTGCAGAGGCATTTACTGAGCTCTGCTGAGCGTGGTTCTCAGTCTGTTTGCTCCTCTGCTCTGTGGGAAGCTCCTTACCCTGGAGTCAGAGCCCAGAGGGACAGAATTTAGATTTCAGGTGTTCAAATTCGAACAGTTTCCCAGTTTCTGAGCTGTTGGTGTTTGAAATAAACATTGTTTATTGTTTACATCAAAAGGCTCAGTGCCTGCTGACCCAGATCAGGATCCTGCAGCAATGACAACATTTTCACACAAGGGCTGAGCTGRGCTGTGGGTTCTCACCAGGGTTTTGTAGGTCCAGTCTGAGAATTCAGGTTTTTCCCTTCGAATCCATCATTACATTTGTCCCCTCTGTGCTGGAATGAAGTTTTCTTTTGCAGATCTSTTGTCACAYGTTTGGAATTTGCTYKGCTCTCACACAGAATCCWGTCTGCCASATTTTACWGTYATGGARTGGTTTAGGTTGGAAAAGCTCTCTAARWTCATGGRGTCCAAGTGTTGACCCAGCACTGCCAARGCCACCACAAAACCACATCCCCAGTGCCACATTCACTTGTCCTATAAATCCCTCTGGGGTTGGTGGCTCCACCCCTGCCCTGGGAAACTTCTTCSAGGGCTTGATAGCCCTTTTGGTGAATAAATGTTTCCTGAAATGCAATCTAAATTTTCAGGAAGCAGTTAAGGCTCTTCTGGCAGCAGACAATGGGAGATGTGAGCTGGTAAAAGGAGGAAAAGTTATTTTATCTGAAAAAGCCTGGCTCCTGGGGATGGGGAGGGGTGGTGGGTGGTCCATGGTTTKACATCCACTGTCTTCTCACCCACTGCAGCTCTGCTTTACCCAGCCCCATTGGGTGGGTGACTAAAATCCTCCTCTTCCTGCTTTTACCTTTCATTTCCCCTTGGTTTCAGAGTTCTGTAAAACACAGAGATTTCATTTCATATAGTGAAATATGAAATATGAAATATCATTTCATATATTTCATTTCATATTAAAAAAAAAAAAAAACCAAAAAAATCCCTTCTTCATCTTATCTCTTTATTTTTCCCAAACCAGAAATGCTTATCAACCCCCATTTTCTGAATAGATGGACATAAAACATGGAACAGTTGTGTTAAAACCCTACAACTTTTTGTTTGTATTTAAGGTTACTCTCTGAGCGAYGTCCAGAAATGTGCACAGGAGAGCTTTGACATTGCTATAGATTTTCCTAAAATCTCTGTGGGTGGTGGAGTAGATGAACATTTCTGTAAAGGCCTTCTAAAAGAGGTTGGAGGTAAGCATGAAACYCTTCTGCCATTCCATTTCTTTGTCATGGTGAAAGGAAGATTTTGTGATCTTGGCTGCCTGAAATATTTCCCTGTTCCCTCAGCCACTTTGGAGTCTGCTGGGTAACCCCAGCCAGGCTTATCAGAGAGGGAGATGTCCCAAATCTTGGGGTTTTTCCATGATTTTCTGTTTACAGTGTAAATACCTACTCAGCATCCCAAGGGAGAGCAAGGACAGATCAATCATCACCCACTTTGCCAGAGATGGTTAAATATCAACCCCCACCCCTCAGCAGGGCCCTTTTTCCATCCTGGTGGGGAAAAGGGGCAGTGATGGTGTTGTGGGGGCCCCTGGGGATGGGGGGAGCTGGGGCTGTGTTGAGGAAGGTGCACCTGGAAATACAAGGAGAACAAAGAATGCTCCTGGTGGCGAGGAGCATCGGGCTGAGGAGCTTAAAACCATAGGGAAAGGAAAGTTTAGGGAAGCAGTTTATGRCAGAGATGGAGGGGACAGGATGGGATATTCCTGCAAAGGAGCAGGGGGCACACAGAGCACACTTTGTAGGGCACCAGGTGARAAAAGTGAAAAACCCTCGAGGCCGTTTTCCCTCTCCCTCCGAGTGGGAACGGTCCTGTGCGGGGCTGTTTCACTGAGAGCTGACACCTCCAGCCCACTAAAGCAGAACCTGGGCAGGGCTGGGAGCTTTCCTGAGCGTGTTTTTACAGACAACACCACCACCAGGAAGTTTGTGAAGGATTTCATCGCCCTGGTGCGTGGTGGGGCGAGCGAGTCCRTCACCACGCTGGCCTACAGTGAGCTGCCCACGGCCCAGCTGATGCAACAATGGGGAGATGCTGTGCAGTACAACCCCGAGATCATCAAGCTGAAGGTACTGTGTCCTTCCCTCAGCCTCAGCTGAGCAATTCAGAGAGGTCTGTGCTTAAATAAATGGGATTTGGAGAAAAAAAAGTCCTTCACTCCGCCTCAGCTGAACGCCTCAAAGAGCTCTGTGCTTTATTCACTAGGATTCAGAGGAAAAAACAAAACCAAGAATAATAGATCTTATTGTGCAGCATGGGTTCTCTGAGTGATTATTAAGAAAATCAAAGGTGTGATGCTTTAAAGGGACTGTGGTTGGAAGTGCCCAAAGKGAACAGTTTTAACCCTTTAATTTGGCTGTGCTGATGTCATTTCAAACAATCCAGCTTCTGTTTTACCAATGTATAACTTACCAAAATTCTATCTGGCAGCATATATTTTATAAGGACTTCTGTTTTCCTTGAAGTTTATCATCTTGGAGCACCAGTGGCTGTTTAGCAGCAATTCTCTCTGGTTCAGAAGGTCAAGTGGTTCATTGTGGATGTTTGTGCAGCTTAGCTGAACCTTAAAAACAGGAGTTAGGCTTTGAAGAGTCAAGGATTTTTGATCCTGGAGAGTTTTAGAAATGCAAAAAGCAAGCAGAAGTGTGCAGCAATTCTGCCTCATCGTCTTTGATGTCAAAAAAAAAGTGAATAGTACAGAAGTGCAAGAGAACAAACATCCCTTTAAACAGGAGTTTGGACTGGAAGTGGTGGAAGTTGGTTTATAGKTKTTTTYCAYTGTAAAATTTAATTTTAGGCAGAARTWTTTGCATTTGTARAAGGGRTTTATTTCTCAAGAAAGAGGTGAATTCTAAAAGCGTGAAGCAAGCAAAAATCAGTAATTTGGAAATACAGCCAGTGCCCATCTGGCACTTAATGCAGCCCCTGGTGTGCTGTGGATTGACCTTCCAGAAATGCACTGGGAGGTCTCAGGACAGCAGACAGGAGAAATGCAGCCCTCTGCACTAAATTACACACACAGAAAAACCTCCCCTGAGGAATTGTGGSGTTCTTTGTCTTGCCTGGCATCAGCGACCAGGCTGCCCAGTGAAAAACCTCAGGCRGATGTAATTTGGATTTGGTATCTTCATTTCCATACCAATATCCCTGTGGGGCTTGAAGATCAAAAGTACCAGTGGAGTGTGACTAAATGTCARCCCAAGAATGCTTAGTTAGGGAAAACTAAAGCAAATCAGTTCATAAATCATCTGCTGAAGGCACTTGGCAGGTCACTCTTAGTGTATTTCCTCATTTGTATGATCTGAATTCAAAAAGCAAAGTATGGATCACAGATAATTGATGAAGAGTGGATGTACAGCAGCAGGAAATGAGGATTTTTTTTTTTTTTTATTGGGACATTCTTCAGTTCTTGTAGTTTGAGCCTGTTGATAGCAGCAGGGTGATGTTTCATGCTTACTGTGTGTGGTCTACAYGGCAGCATCTCTGCAGTGAGGTGGGAATTTGGGATGGATCCTCTGCTGGCACATGGAAATATCATCCCTCTGGCATTATTGGTGACTGGCAATATTGTCTTATTAACTTTCCCTTAAAAGTTAAGGAAAATTAATGAGTGAGGAAAATTAGTGAGTGAACCAAATCCCCTTGATCCGTGCTGCACCTTCACAGTGTTGTGCACCCTCTTGACTTCTCTCCTTCTGCAGATGGGGATCAAATCCTCTCCCTTCTGGAAGGCAGTGGGATCCTTTTTCTGGGCTCCATAAAGTTAGAAACCAGCCTGGAAATGCAGGGGTGGTGAAGGTGGAAGTGCTGATGTGAATCCCTGTGACTGAGGAGCCTCTGGCAGTGCTGGGGGGCTGTAGGAGGAGATTTYTGTGGRTGGTTTTTAGGGGATATTTTTCAAATCWGAGCAAGAGATCACTCAGAAAATGTAAGTTTGAGCGAATCTGATCTAAAAAYGTCTGTAGCAGGAAATTGGATGAGCCAGGATTTCATGAAATTTCTGTGCAACTTTCCCTGTTTGGCTGCTTTGTTTTGTTACATTTCCAGCTGCTCTGGTGCTGGACACCGAGGGCAGCATCACTGTGAGTATTCCTGACATCGTGGCCTTGTTTTTCACAAGGTTTTAGCAAATAATGATGGGAAACCTGGAATTTGTACCACGCAGCCTTCATTTCCCTCTCCAGCTGAGCCACCAGCRAGCCTTGGGATGTTCACAGCATCTCCAGCCTGGGAATTAATGCAGTTTCTCCCCTCCCCTCAGGCAGGGCCGCTGTATGAGCTGGTGACTCCCTCTGACTTGGCTGATTCCAGCAAAATAAAAGAGAATTTGCACCGGGCTCTGGAGGAGTTCCAGAYGGAGAGCAGCTCCTGCCACTGTGCCCCATGCCATGGGAATGGCATCCCCTTCCTGAAAGGTACCACACCCTTTCTCTGCCCTCTTGATTGAAATTAGTTGGGAATTTGTGGGGAGCAAACAGCAACCAATCTTCTCTTTAGTTTCTCCTGTAATTTCTTTATTAAGTAACTATTTTATTTTAAAGTGTCTCTGTTTGTAGAGCTCTGATAAGTAAAGGCAGCAAAGTCAAGTGAAATGTCTTTGTAATGGGAGTGACCATTATCTGGATCAGTTTTACAGAAGAATTTGTTACTTCTCAATGATGCATTTAAAAGAAAAATCTTTGACATTTTTAAGTCTCTTTCRCTTTTAAGATTGCTTCCATCCTCCTGCAGAAGTGACTACTGTCTCAGCATTAATTAGTGTTTGTACAAGTGTTTTGAAGATGAAAAGCACCATCTAAGTGCCAGGCACGGTGATCACCCCCACCTCCCCCTGTTTCTGATAGAAGCTGTCCTCCTTCGTGAGCAGGCTGTGATTTAAAAAATGCAGGGGAAAAATAATCAAATTAAATGAAAACTGCTCAGCCTAAACAAGAGATATATGATGTGATGAGAGCTCCTAACAAAGGGACCATTTTGTCRAGTGCCTAATTCCAATCTGCATCCTCAAAAGTCCTGATGAGGATTGTTATCATCAAATTGTGTCTAATGCAGAAACGATCACTTCAGGTGCCAGCCAGCTGATTGTAGCACTTGAGGCATTTGTCTCATGATGACCTTTGTTTGAATAACTTTGTAGGAGCTGAGTCCAGGTTAGTGTTTCATTTAGGATCTTCTCACAAAAGGTTTTAAATGACCATTCCTTTCCCTAAGTRGGAACTCTCCTTCAGTTTCCTGGTATGGGATGCACAGCCCTAGCCAGCCAGAGCAGAAATATTGGGCTTTTCCTCTGCCACAAAGCCATGTTGGGGTGTCCCTGTCCTGGTTCTTGTTTCTCCATTCTACAGTTTGTTTTTTATCAGCTTTACCAAGAGCTCTCTGCAGAGGCCACAGCTGCAGTGCTGTGTCCAGCTCTGAAAACCCCAATATTAACAGGAYSTGGAGCRAGCCCAGAGGAGGCCATGGGAAAGGCAGGGTTAGATTTGACATTGGGAAGGAATTCCTGGCTGAGAGGGTGGGGAGGCCCTGGCACAGGGTGTCCAGAGAAGCTGAGGCTGCCCCTGGATCCCTGGAAGTGTCCAAAGCCARGTTRGATGGGGTTTGGAGCACCCTGGGATAGTGGAAGGTGACGGGCAGAATGGGATGGTCTTTAGGATCCCTCCCAACCCAAACCYTTCCAGGGTTCTGTGATCTCTTTTTGAGAGGAGCAGGGAGCTCTGTGGATCTCTGGAATTGCACCAGTGAGGCTGAGGCTGAGCTGCAGGGCAGGAACAGATGGTTGGGGAGCTGAGAGGGGTGGCAGGGCAGGCACAGCTCCCCTCTCCACTGCTCTCCATCCCTTCAGCACGGAGAAAATGCTGGCATGTCACCATGTGCAGAGGAGCGGGTACCTGCAGGGGGACGTGGCTCCAGGTTTCTAATTCCCACCATCTCTTTGCTTCCAGGAACAAACTGCGAATGTTTGTGTCCCCTGGGCTACCGGGGCACCGCCTGTGAGATCAGCATGAGGAAAGGTGAGAGGGGACAGCCCCAGCTGGGCTCAGAGTGTCCAGGGATGGGGAGCGATGCCAGCCCTGGGTGTCCCCAGTCTGCCCAGCCCTCATCTGAATTTCTTTGCCCTCCCGAGGAGCTGGGTTTATTTTTGCAGTTCAAAGCTGCATGTTCATGCCTTGCAATTGTATTAAAAAAAAAAAAACAACTCCTGCTTGGCTTTCAATCCATGGAAAGCCTCAGGTCTCCTCCTTAGGAAACAGCTCTGTTTCCTGAGTTTTCCCCTTTGATAAAGCCAGCGTGTTGCAAACTGTTCTCCCCCAGATATGCTACCATGCATTTTAATCTTGAAATCTTGTTACGTTGTTTTGAAGTGTTTATTAATGCTTCTTGGTCACTTTATGTCTCCGCTGTCTCCTGACTGATGTTCTTAACTCCTTCTAGTTTAGGATCATCTGTGGATTTAATCATTTTGTTTACTTCTTCCAGCTCATTAATTTAGATGCTAAATAACACCAGATCCCAGGCACCCAGAGCTCTGGCACCATCCCACAATTTGATGCAGTGCATTTATCACTGGCTTTGTTTACAGCCTTACCCAATACTCATTCTGCTCGGCTGTGTCCAAACTGAGCCAGGCTGAAATGTATTTTAAGGCACAATTTCACTGAACGGGGGTCACTTTTGTGGGTATTTCTAAGGCAGTCCATGGAGCTTTGAACAATCCCTTACACCTTTCTTCAGTCTCTTTTTCACACACAGAATCACATCCAACCCTCCCAAAGCTCACATCCATCCGTTTGTCAACATTGTAACTTCATTTCTCACTCCCATTTCCCCTTTTTATGTGTCGCCTCCGTGATTCTCAGCATTTGGAGTTTATGTCACTCACATGCTCAGAGTCCAGAAGAATCAGGGTAATAGGAAAAGCAATGGAGGGAAAGCTGAATAGTCAAGCTGTTGTTCACTGAAGTGGTAACACTGTCCCTACCACCTCAAAATGTGGCTGAGACAAGTTTAGTTGGTTTCTCATCTAGGCGTGGACTAAGACAAAGAGAGAAACATCTCTCAAGCAAATATAAAGCTAATTGACAATTTTTTCCTCCCCTTTTGTGTCTTCCTGAAGTTTAGTTTGAASAAACACCAGAAATRGTGAWCAGAGAATTAMCATCTCTGAAATRATCCCTCAYTGTTGATGACTCCAGTCTGTTGTTRGWGAYRTGGACAGGGGCAGAGCTGTTTGTATCCAAATACAATTCATGGGAGCTGACAGCTCTTGCCATAGAAAGAACTGCTTGTTTCTGACAGTCCTTCCCAGCTTTGTTATTTCTTTCTTTTTTTTTTTCTTCCCAGATGCTGCTATTAATGGGAACTGGGGGTGCTGGGCCAGCTGGTCCTCGTGCTCAGGAGGTCAGAGGACACGAAGGCGACAGTGTGACAACCCTGCCCCACGGGACGGTGGCTCCTCGTGCCCAGGGCCCGACTCTGAGACAGCTCTGTGCTAAGGAGAGCCAGCAGGAACTCACACAGATCTGATGGGCACTTGGGGAAGATGTCACCTGACAGCTCTGAGCAGGCCTCCTCTGCCCGTGGGGCTCAGCCAAGTCAGAAATGTTTCAGAAAACACCGGGAGCTGGGAGGGTGTTGGGAGCCACCCCTTTGGACATGCCTTGCGGTTATCCCGTGGGATTGAACCTGCTTACTGACCTCAGTATTTTGCCTTTTCCCTGTCTTTCTTGCAGTGGGCTAAATGAGACAAGCTTTATCTCTGTGTGTCTTTGGTAGCTGCACGGTTTCAAATTGTACAGTCTTGTTGTTGGAGGTTGCTTTGAGGTGAGGAGAGAGCTTTGATCTCGGGTGCAGCAGGATGTGCACGGATGCACAGCTTCTGTGCAGGCAGCTGTGTCATCTGGAGCAAAATGCAGCACATTAAAGCTGAAATCTCAGTGAGCACAACTGTGTCTAACGTGACATTTAGAGCCACTCTGCCCCACTACCCTGCTTTCCCCATTTATTTTCTTGTTTCCACCCCCTGCCATGGGCAGGGACACCTTTCACTACCCCAGGTTGCTCCAAGCCCCATCCAGCCTGGCCTTGGWCWCTTCCAGGGATCCAGGGCAGCCACAGCTTCTCTGGGACAAATGGAACATTTTGAAAAAGCTGTTTGCACATCCCCTGAGGCCTTCTGCCCTTAGGAGCTGTCTTTGCCCCAGACAATCTCTGCTTCATCAATGAGATCCCATAAAGGCCAATATTCCCCTGCTGCCTCCCCAGGGTGGGACAACTGATTTGGAGAGGGTTCTTTATGAAAAGAGACAAATGGAATGGTTTGCCTGGATGCTTATTAACCAAATTGGATGGTTTTTACCATCCCTGGAGCTGTGCATCACAGTCCAGCTCTAACAACAGAGGAACTCAAAACACCGTGCACCATTTCATGAGCCTGGATCATTCCAGGGACTTGTTTCTCACAGCTTTGTTGGTGGTTAATGCTTTTTGCAAAGACATTTGGTGGTGCCTGCTGCAAAACACCCAGGCAATTCCACCAGTGCAGAGCTGTTCCTGAGTCTCCCAGCAGCTGCAAGGTCAGACTGTGTGCTGAGGGTTTCCAGCAGTGCTGGTGATGCTGGGCTGCTATCGCCCGCTCCGTTCCTTTCAGACTGACACCATCTGAATGCAGCTCCTGTGAGAGCAGCTCAGGCTCTCTGACATTTCAACAATGGAACGTGCATTTAGTTGTAGCCCTCACACCGCCTCCACACGTACCAACAGGGCTCCTTGACAGCTTTGAAAAAGGCAGAGCACATTGCATATGTAAAACAAGGGGGCTCTGCACTCATTATGGGCTTCATCACTGAGCTGCCAACCCAAAACATTTCCCTTTTCTGCTGCGTAGCTGTGATATCTTTTGTGTGATGGAAATTTGCCAAGAGGTTGTTCTTGGGGCCATGGTCAAAGAGAGCACTGCAGGATGATATTGCTCCAAGGTTTTTGAAGGGGTGCTGTAGAAGCCCTGGAGCTGAGGACCCTGAGCATGGTTCATGGGTGCCTCTGAGGACACGAGCTGCAGTGTCATCGCCTGCTCTTCTTGAGAATCGTCAGTGTACAGAATCACAGAATTAAGGGCATTTCCCAGGTGAGCCAAGTGGCTTTTGTCAATTTACCCACCTTTCCTGATCATCAAGCTGGTTAAACACACAGCAGGGTGCTTCTATCCCTTGCTGTGACAAGGAGAGCCGAGTGTAGTGACCAGAGTTGAGACTGTTGTTCCCAAATCAGAAAAGCCCAGGTTTTTTGAAGTGGTGGCAGTACCTGAGTTTGTAAATTTGGGTTTGTTTTTCTTTTTAAGGAAGAGAGGAGAGATTTGACAGTCGTCAAAGATTGTGAGGATAGTCTGACTGAAGTATGAGTTCAGCAGTGTTGAATATTGAGCCTGTAGGCTTAGAAGCCTCCCGTAAAGGACATAACTTCATCTCGTCCTTGCTTTGATTTTGTGCTTTGATTCGCCCAACTAATGATTTATTACAACCTGGAGGGTAATAAAAAACTATGCTGAAGCTTTTATTGTTTCATTTTGGTTCACATTAAATTTTGGTACCATCTTTTACGGGTGTTCCTAACTCGCACTGCCTGTGTAAGTTCAGATTGATAACCCACGGGTGAGAACTCGGGCGGGCTGTGCACGTGTCCAGCCCTGCTTGGGCTGCTCTGGCCCATTTCTCTGGTTGAGATACTCATCTCAGTGGGCTCTATGACATCCCATGGTATATTTTCACAACAGTTTGCTTGAGAGAAAGAGGATAAACATGAAGAGGCTGGATTTATTGGCACCTTCCCTGCTTGGAGACATTGCTGCTGTGATGTCATATGAGTGTGGCTCTGGGAGCTCTCAAAAGGGCATTTCAGGTGAGGTGGAATTGCCACATCCAGCTTTACCAGAACAAAGCCAGCTGGAATTCGCCACCCCTAATGTCTCCACCAGCAGTGGGAAACTGCACTGCTCTCCAGCCTGGATTTCTGTGCTCCCTGCTGTGTCACCTCACGCAGATCTGTGAGGCTGGAACACGGTCCAGGGAATTTGCACACTCAGTACTGCTGAATTCCTTTACCATGCTGCTGTTTCTTCCTCTGTCAGATGGTAGTAGCTGTTCCTGTCCATATTCTCCCCCTGCTTTGTTGAAAACAACCCAGAAATTCCACACAGAGCTGTTCACAGTCCCAAATTTCCAGCTCCTGGTTCCACCCCACTGGCTGAAGAGCCCAGTAAGCCCCAAATACAGCTGCCAGATTCCAGGTCAAATCATGCCTGCAGATTTATCTTCCTTTGATATCCCATTTTAATACCCCCTGCTTCTGTGAATCAAAGAGCTAGAGATGAAAACAGTAATTATTACCATTAAGAACAAATACTTATTTTTAGTGCAGCACCACAGGTACCACTGTGATGTAGAGCAGCATCACAAATGCCAGTCCCTCTCCAAATTTGCCAAAACCTGGAATTTTTGATGTTTCAAGTTTTTCTGGTGGGATTAAATGTTTTGTATCTCCTGTACCTGTGCATTTCACTGTATAAAAAAAGGAGGCAACAATTTTTGAGCTACTCCTGCTGGGGAATTATTTAAAAACCCCAGACCCAGAGGGATGCAGGCGTTGGGGCAGCTGATGTGACATTGACCCTGAGGTAGAAAACAGCTCTGTCTCAAGCACTGCCCTTATCTCCTCCTCTGTTAGCTGGTTATCTGGAGCCTACACCTTGCCACCTCAGGTGTATTGTCATCAATCATTTCCTATTTTCTTCTGCGTGCTGGTTCCTCTCTGCCCTTCCTTTGTTAATAACCCGGTTTGCCTATATCCATAAAAATATCTGATTGTGATACCATTTATCCAAAGCGCCACACATCCATCATGTGCTTATGAGCGAGATAAACAAGGCCTCCTGGGAAATACGCCGCCAGAAATATATAGGATAAATAACTATATCAAATGTATGTCAGTGTGCAAGAGGGGAAAATCCATTCATTAAAACCCGGGTGGAACTGCAGTGTTTTATTGCACCCTCTAAGCTTTTAGTTTAACTAAGAAACGTACGTTTTTGCTGCTTATCTCATCTTGCACAACTCTCCTGTTGCCCACTTCAGCACGAGATATATTAGCTTCTTCCACTGCCATTGTAAATGTGTAATTGCTCATAATCTTTTCTTGGTTTGGAGGGGGTTTTTTTTTGTTTTTTTGGGTTTTTTTTCCCCAGACCTTACAGGCAGCTTCTTCATTTTTTCTGACTTCAGCTTTGCTGCTCCTGGGTTTCAGCATGTGGAGATTTGAGCCCTGGGGGTGGCAGGGGGCTGGAGGGGCACTTCCCACCTGCCTTTGGTGTTTAAAGGAAGCCTTTGGGTTTTCTCAGTGCCTTGGGCTGTAAGGTGAATGATGAGAAGGAACAATTGCAGGTAAAACACAGCTTTTCTGCTCTTACATGTTTCATGGTGGCATTTTGCATGCAGTTTCTTTAATCACTTGGATTTTTTTTTTTTTTTTTTTTTTTGGCTCTTCAGTGATTTATCCTTCTAGAAACAGCTCTGAAAGCTGAGGGTGCAGCTTGCCTTCCTGCAGGCCCCATCCTTTCCCAGCCTCCAAGGCATCAGATCTTTCTGGTCATTAATTTCTCCCCTGTGGTCAAAAAAAGAAATGTACTTGGCTTTCCGACTGAGGTGACTTCATACTCATTTATTTGCATTTACAGGCGTTTTCCTGACTCCTAAGCAGTCAATGTAAAGGTAAGAATTTGTCAGAGCCCAACTGGCCCTTGGTGTTTCCACATTCCCTGCCATCCCAGTATCAAACAGCATTCCTTAAATCCCCTGATGTGATCCTACATTCCATATTCCTCTGGGATGTCTGTCACACCAATCCATGGGTGCTCCATGCTGCTGCATTTTCCTTGCACAGAAGGCATCAGATTCGAGCCCTTGGGAGCATATTCCTCTCTGGGTGAACAGCTCCTTCACCTGGAATAGCAAAGTTGGCCAAAAGGCCACAGCTTTGCCCCTCAGCAAAGGGATTTTTTCACACAGCAATCCATCTCAGGGTTTGAGACAGCATGGTTTGTTGTTTTCAGCCCGTAGTTTCATTTACAAGCAAAAAGGAAAGCGGTGAAAAAATCGGCCTTTGGCAAACATGCCCACAAAAAAAAATATGGGGCCAACTCTTCAGGTGCCATAAATCAGCAGCAGCGATGGAGCAACACTGATTTACATCAGCTGAGTGTCAGCCTGTAAATCCCCACCGACACACAGTTGAAAAACAAGCATTTCCAAGCACCTGAGCAATTTCTTTCACTAAACCTCGATTCCTTTCTACTCCCTCTTTCCATTCAAATGTCTGCAGAAGGGCCGCTTTGTGCTTTGAGGTTTTGGTGCTGTTGTTGTTCATAATGCCTGATTCCTTCTCAGGGTTTTTTTTTCCCCCCTTCTCCCCTCGTGATGAAAAGCTCAGTGAAATGAAGTGCCATTCGCCTCCCGTCCATCCCAGTTTTGTTTGGTTGGTTTTTTTTTTTCGTGGCAGTTCATTAAGGAAAGGGAGCTGCAGGCTCTCACTGCAGTCTCTGGACACAGTTCAATACCGTGTGCATTCTTGTGCTGAGATTTACGTCCTACATTCAAAAAAGCCCCTTAAATCAAGCAGCCTGTTAGCATCTTCTCAGGCTCTGTGTGCCTGTGAGATAAAATGCCTGCGTGCTAATAGTCAATTCATCACTGATCTTACGGAGGAAAAGCCTTCGCTCGTGTGTGAACATCCTCTGCCGAGCGAACGCCTTCAAGCCTCTCTATTTATTACTTTATTTATTTATTTGAAATTCCTCGGGGCTTTGGGCTCACATTTTGCGAAGATGCTTCGGCATCTTTGGGCTGAAGGCTTTCTCCACGCAGAGCAGCATATGGCTTTGCTGCAAATGCAGCCCTGGCCAATATGCTGGACTCACAAATCTGACAGTGCCAACTCACAAAAGTTTCGTGGTACATATGTCAATACCAACTGCACGGGAACGCAAAGATCGTGAGCTTTCCGTGTGTTTCCCAAAGGGAAATCCATAAACTTCCCGAGAGTCAGGCTCAGTTGTGTAAACACTCGCAGTGAATTTATTTCATTCAAATAAAATAAATTTTTTTTTTTTTTTTATGACTGGCTGCAGCCCTGTGGTCACCCAGCAGAAAAGGCACCTCCTTTGGGTGGATTCCCTGTCATCCCTTGTGCTGCAGCAGTGGTGCTGGGCACTAGTGGGGCTCCCACCCCATCTGATGTGGCTTCTATCCCAAAACCACCGGAGCAGTCACTCAGATTTTACACAGCAAATCTGGCACGTACAGAAACGCATCACCACCACTCAATTATTTCTCCCGGTGGTGATTCCATTGCATACCTGGAGTATTTATAGCCCAGCCCAGGTTCCAAACCACCCTTCTCCAGGCACTTTGGGGTTTCAGCAGGCTCTGGTCTGGACGTTCCTCCCAGCACAGGGCTGTCCCCCGTTCTGTGGGGCCGGGTTGGAGCACTCCCGGCTGCGCCGCGATGTCCCCGCCTGGCACGGGGACCAGCCCGACCAGCAGCTCCAGTGCCCGTCCATCTCAGCAGCTGGGGACACAGAAAAGAAAGGAAAAAACAAACAAAAAGAGGAGCTTCAGCTCTGGCTGGCAGCTCTCGGGTCATGGACTTCCTGCTCTATCCCAGCCATGCACAGGCTGTTGAGATCAAGGCACTTCAAAGCCAGGGTGGATAAAACATCATCACCCCAAACACCGAAACACCAACAACTGTTTATTTTTCTTCTCATTTGAGAGCCTGTGCCTTGGTTTTCCTTTCCCAAGGGGCAGCTGACAGCTCTCTCTGCAGCAACTCTCTCACCTCTGAGCAAGGCAGAGGGACAAAAGTCCCCTAACGTGGTGGGGACGTTGTGAAAAGTCCTTTTGGAGATGGGTCATTTCAAAGCTTTTTCATTACAGTACAGACTGAGTTGTCAGGAGCGGTCGATACTATGGATTATGGCGGTGCTCCTGAATGATGGGAATGCTTGATGGCTGTCATTTACTGTCGTTTTTTATTTACTCATCTGGCCTTCATGCCTGGCTTGGGCACTTTATTAATCCAGACAGCACAAATGGATGTGTGTGCTCTTACTTAGTGCTGGCTGGGAAAGCTGGGCTTTCCATCTGCTGGAACATGATGCTTTATTAAAAAATAAATAAAAATTTAGTTGGGTTTTAAATGAGTTTTGGGACTGAAAAAACTGAAAGAAAAGAATTGCTTACAAGTTAGAAGGGTGCTTGTCCCCGCTGTTGTTAAAATCAAGGAGTGCAGGCAGGTCCTGAGTTGCCAAGCGAATTCTTGAGATTTGGAGACACCTTAAGGAATCTGAGCTTTTTAAAGAAACCTGCTTTGCAGTCACTGAAGCAAAGCTTCAGCATTCAGCTTCACAAACTATCTCTAGCTCTGCTCCAACTCCTTTTTTCATCACAGCTTTGATTTTCTGCTGGTGAGGCCCCAGTGATGAGCCCACGGTTGAAGGACTGGAGCTCTGCCTGGTGGAGCTGCTCTGAAGATGGATTTTTCTGCCAGCTTTGTGTGCTGAGATTTAGATTTTTTTTTTTTTTTTTTTAATCATGAATCAGGACAAAAATATCCAGAGAGAGCTGCAACTTCTTTTTGGAAATGAAAGAGCCTGTTCCGGCTGTTTTTGCTACCCACTTAACTTTTTAGGATAGTATAGAAAGTGACAAAGAAAACATAAATATAAGCCTGTCACTTCAGAAAAACATATTTTTTCTCAAAACAGACACTTCCCTCTAGTCAAAATGCATCCTGGGAAATCTGGAAATGTGGCAATCTTTTACTAAAGGAGCATTTATGTTGTTTGACCAGTTGCTTCACCTGAGCCTTTCCCCTTCCCATTGCTTCCTACCCCATGAGGTTTGTGCTCTCCCCCTTGGAGCAGCCATTCTTGGTGGGATGCCACAAGCCCTCTGACTTGTTTCATGGATTTATCCAGCAATTAAACACACCCTCATTTCCACTACTCTGTTTATAAATAATCACAGAATCGTAGAATGGCTTGGGTTGGAAGGCAACATCCCATTCCAACCCCGTGCTGTGGACAGGGACACATTCCACTATTCCAGGGTGCTTCAAACCCTATCCAGCCTGGCCTTGGACACTTCCAGGGATGGGGCAGCCTGTGCCAGGGCCTCCCCAGCCTCACAGAGAAGAATTTCTTCTTTATCTCTAATCTAACCTTCTCTTTTTCCATTTAAATCCATTCCCCTCTGTCCTGAGCTGCTGACCTCAGTCTCTTGCAGAGCTCCTTGGGATACCACAGCAATTAAAACAGAATTGAAGGTGGGACTGATGTGCGGATACCAGGAACTGTTTTTTAGCCACGTGGAGGAGGAAATTTCTCCCCTTTGCTCCTTCCCCCTCCCCTGCTGCCCCCTGGGCTCTCACCTGGGCGCTGAGTCTGCTCGCAGGCGGGGCCCCTGTAGCCAGGACGGCACTGGCAGGAGCAGATGTCCCCCACCAGCATGGGCTCCCCATTATTCAGGCACCCTCCACAGCGACAGGAGTTGAATTCTTCCAGGAATTCATCCAGGGCTCGCTTCAGGTGCTGCCGTTTGGTTTCCATGTGGGCGAGGTCGCTCCTGCGGAGGATTTCATGGATGGGCTCCAGCTGCGGAGGATGGAGATGGATAGAGGTGGATAGAGTGGAAACAATTTCAGCTGGGCATCGACTGGGGTGCCCTGACACCGCTGGATAAATTCAGGACTCGGGGAAAAACTCATTTGTCTTCCTCGACAGCTGCATGCACATCATGCAAATGTGTTGCTGCCCCAGTGAGAAACCACCGTTCCAAAACCTTCCTCATCTTGGAGGTTTGTGTGGGATTGGCTTTTCTGGACATGCTGTGGAGTTTAGAATAGATTCGAATGATAAATTAAAACACCCCAGTAAGCCCGTTTTTTCGTTTTTCATTTTTGGGTTTTTTTTTTTTTTCCTGATTTCTTAGTGCTGTCACAACCCCTGAGATTCTTTCATGCTTTTTGCCTTTTTGAAGAAAATGTTTTGGTAAGAGCTTTGGACAGAGAGTATCATCAAAATTTATTGCCGCCCTATCACTTGCAGTGGCCAGATTGTAAAATATCCAGTAAATGCTGAGGATGAGGATTTTTGCTTATATATATTTTACCCTTTGATGGAGTGAAATAATACTGTCATCTACAGCTTTTGGGGATGTAATTCACTCATCACATTTTCCAGCAGCAAAATCCAGTTCCTACACAGCAGTCAGCAAAAATAGGCCAGTTTGGGAACTGTAATTAAAACTTGAGCCACTGGTTTTAATATCCAAATTAGTATTAAAGCTAAACACTCAGAGCTGTCTGAGGACACTTATTTTTATTTATTTTTCCATTGATGCACCTGTGCAAACACTCCCTGTCTGGGCTGGGAATTGTTTCCAGAGAAGAGCAGAGTGTCAGCTCACTGTGCAAAGCAGTGAGAGTGGTTCATGGGGAGGATCAGGATCAGCCAGGCTTTGGGAAGAGCTCTTAGGCAAATTTGCACAAGTCTGTTCAACAAATGGAGGGAGCTGCAGATAAAAGCTGCTGCAGTGGACACGAGCTCTTATCGGCCACTCTGGTTATGGGATGACTGCTCAGCTGTGGGGCAGCCAACAGAGAGGTCAGTGCGTGGTTTACTGGAAAACTGGGGGAAATTCTGCCCAGAATTGATGGGAACTTGTGCAAAAAGGTGAATAACCTGCAGCTGGAACTGAAAGCACTCCTGTGTTATCAGATCTCCCCGACACTGAGGTGCTGCCTGGGAAGGTTTGCACAGTCCTTCTTGCCCTGCCAATAACACAGATAATTCCCAAATCCATTTTCCCTTCTCCCACTCCCTGTCAGAGCTTTCAGATGAAGACAAGAGGGATAGAAATGGCAGCGTATCCCTGCAGTGATGGAGCTCCTTCCCCTGCACACCACAGCTGCTCTTGGAGCAGATCGGTGATCTGGGGGTGCTTGTGGTCCTGCTGACCACAGCTGAGGAGTTGTGGCCACCCCCTCATGCCTCTGCCCACTCTGCCCAGGGTTATTTGTCCATAGGAATGCTCTTTTCCATCCCTTTCCAYCCYCTCTGCTTGCACCTCCTCCCTGCCTCAGAAGCCACATAAGATGCTTCTGTGATCTTCCCATTTTATGGGGCATCCAGTGAAACAAAAGGGAGAGCAGAGCCTTGCTGATTTTTATGGCCACAAGCCCTCTTTTTGGAGTGTGGAGAAAGATAGGACCCACCTGACAAAGCAGCCAGGAGCTCCCTGCTCGGAGAACTCACGGGTGGGGGCTGTCTATGCAGAGCCTTTATTGGGCTGGGGAAAACAAAAAACCTTCCCCAGCCCCCTGGGAGTCCCCTGCTTATCCAGGAGGGTGGGCAGCAGGGAGAATAACAGGGATGAATGCACCTGCAATTCATTGTGAAGCTGTTGGGGAACCCATCAGAAACTTAACCTGGCACTAATCCAGCATTAAGCTCCTCGTCAGTCTCCCTGCAGATGCACTCAGTGGGACATGTTGTTCTCCCCATTGTGGAATGAATAAGAGGTTACCAGAGCAGCGGCCCATTACATTTAATCTTGTTCTGTGATGGGATCACAATCAAAATACGGAATGATCTGCTCGACTACACTCTCATTCCTCAGAGTTTCTCCAACTGCAGAAAAGCCTTACCTGGAAATCAATAACAGCAGGATTATATTTTAACGACCTTCCCCACTGACGGTACATTTTGCCATCCCAGCTGTTCAGGAGCCCTTCGCTGTAGCTGGTGTCTCCCCCTTTAATCCGGGGAATAATGTCTTCCACAATTGCGCTGTGGCTCTCAGGATCTGGGAAGTTGAATTGCACAAGCGTTATTCAGCTGCTGTTTGCACACAGACTCCAGAAACTGCTAAGTGGAGGTGAGATCAGTCGTGCAGGGGGCTATCAGGGAGCTGCCTGCTGGGATCGATGGCAGCTCGGTGTTCTCTGCTTGTGGGGTGAGCCCTGACACCTTATCAAGAGCTGACAAGCTGAGCATCCCAAATCCTCTAAGCTGATAAGACCTGAAGGGCCTGCACTCCTCCAGCCTTGGTTTCTGGGTGGGACATGGGCTATAGATCACACTGAGATCTGTATCTTGTTATGAAATGTACAAATCTGGGGTTCTGTCCCCTCTCTGAGTACTTTTTATAGTCAATTTTGACTTTTTTAAATTGCCGTGCATGCCCAATCTGTCACTGCAATGGACTGCAGCCTTCAGCCACCCCACAGCCTGTTTCCAATCCAGGCATTGCCACATCAATTCCTGCTCTTTCAAGATGAATCAGTACTCCTGGAGACTCAGACCCAAAATTTCCGTGGTGTCTCCTTGCCTCAGGGATGGCACCAGAGCTGCCTCCCTCACGTGACCCTGCTCGAATCTCCATGCCCAAGTGACCAACAGAAGTGTCCCCAGGTGCCTCAGCATCCCCATGCCCAAGTGACAACAGAAGTGTCCCAAGGTGTCTCAGCATCTCCATGCCCAAGTGACAACAGAAGTGTCCCCAGGTGCCTCAGCAGCCCCTGCCCAAGTGACCAACAGAAGTGTCCCAAGGTGTCTCAGCAGTCCCTGCCCAAGTGACCAACAGAAGTGTCTCAAGGTGTCTCAGCATCTCCATGCCCAAGTGACCAACAGAAGTGTCCCAAGGTGCCTCAGCATCTCCATGTCCAAGTGACCAACAGAAGTGTCCCAAGGTGTCTCAGCAGCCCCTGCCCTGCTGCCATACCTGTTTTCAGGAACCCTCCCTGTTTGCAGTCCGAGGTTGAGGTAGAGACACCCAGCCCCAGCTGCCTCATGCTGAATGAAACGCCAATGGACAGCCCAAGGCAGCTGCTTACCTCCTCAGAGGTGACACCTGCAAAGCAGAAAGCAGCCAGGTAAATTCAGTGACTCCTGTGGAAGGGTGTTCATTTTCCTGCATCATTTTTTCTGTCTTTGAAGAAAAGATTTTTTTTAAAAAATTATTTTTTATTTAAAAAAAAATTTAAAAATTTAAAAAAAATTTTTAAAAACTAAAAAAATAAAAAAATTAAAAAAGAAAAATTTTTGTGGCTTGTATTTCGAAGTCAAGAGCTATTCCAGGCAGAGGACAGTGAAAACCCCAATATTTTATTGAGTTATATTGGGTCTATTATATCATAGGTGTAAAAATTGTTCCCTTGGAATACACTAGAAGAAAGTAAAAATCTTTAACACAAGTCTTCAGGCACATTTGTCCTGTTCGATCTATTCAACAACAAACCTTTATATTTTCTTATGGGCTAACCCGTATGGCTAACCCGTAACTAGGGAAAAGCAGCTGAAATCAATAGATCCTCACTAATTTTCCTAAATTTAGGATCTGACCCACCTATTGATGGCTTAAGCAGCACCTTGAGCAGTACCTTGGAAAAGGTCTGTGTGCTGAGAGCTGCCAGAACTTTCCTGCCTTGCTGTGCCACCACCACCACCACATACATCACAAAAATATCTAACTGGAGACCCATGAAGCGACTGCAGAGGGGAGAAGGGGACTAACGAGGTGGTTTCACCAAGGTAAGCAATGTGCATATTTCACACAGCCTGGTTTTATGTGAGCACTGCAAATACAAGGCCATCTTCTGCAGCAGTTGAAAAGCCCATTGATTTTGGTAAATGCGGGTGTTGTGAGGAACTGGTAACTTTTATGTCGCTCTTTTTGTCAGAGGAACTCAAAGTGTTTTACAGAGGAGCCTGGTGGTCAATGCCACGGCGGTGAAAGGAAGAATAGAGGTCAGGGGGATGGTTTAATGTGTGCTGTGGTTTAATGGCCTGAGGGTTGAATCTCTGCCTTTGCCCAGCCTGGAGCAGGGTTGGACTGCCTCACCTCAGCTCTGGGGAGCTGTGTCTGTGCTTAAAACACTGCTCAAACACTCACAGCTTTGGCTTTGTGGCATCATGGAGTGGTTTGGGTTGGAAGAAACCTTTAAAGGCCATGTGGGCAGAGGCAGCTTCAGCCAGGCTTTGCTCAGAGCCACATCCAACCTGGAATTGATTCCAGAGACAGAACAGCCACCCCCTCTCTGGGCAACTTGGGCCAGAGTTTCACCAACCTCACAGTAAAAAATTTCTCCTTTATTCCTTGTCCTACCACAACAGGCCCTGATAAAAACCTTTCTTTCCCACAGGCCCCTTTGAAGTGCTGGTCCCTGCAGAACCAGGCCCTCACAAAGAATTAAACATGTAGTGCTCGATTACTTGCGCTAAACTGTTCAACTGTTGTAAACACAGTGGGTAAAGTTCATCCACCCAAAGCAGCACGAGCGATGGCTTATCTCGGTGCTGGAGTGCCATAAAATTAAACTTGAGGAACACCCTGATTAATTGATTTGCCACGGCTCCCGTTGTGTAATTACGTTCAGCCAGGGCCTGTCGATACC